GTCTGTTAGTTTGATCCATCACTCCATTAGAAGTCTCAGTTTCCTCTGTTATAAACTAATGGGAGTTCTGATTAAATAACCCTAAATATCCTTTCACTTCTAAAATTCTGCAATTCATGATTCGAAACCTTACTTAACACTGGAGACATTACCTAGCAACAATACTAGGAAAACCCACCGTGATTATTTCTACTTTCATATTTGGTGCAAAAGTTACCATACCATCCTCATTGGGAGCATTACAAAAGGGCACAAAGTCCTTCAACCTTCACGCCTAATCCCTAGATTATCAAATCCAAGTCACTTCTAATAATTAGATAACTTTCAGTGTTAGACAAACTTTTTCTCAAAATAATGTATACAACTACTACAACTGACAATTTAGGAAATAATAATTCTAGGAAAAACTTACTCTGAAAATTTTAATGTATCTGTGACTTTTTGTTTAATTTAAAATAATGATAATTTTTGTCCAAGTTCATTTGCATTCTTTTGTTAATGAGCAGAGTTTAATAATAATAATATTGAAGACTTCAAGATTTTTATCCAGACTAATGTCATCAGCATATTACTACTGGGCAAGAATATAAACCTATTCATATGCCTACTCACTCACAAATTCAACAAATATTGATTGATTGTCAACTTCCAAGCCCCTAAATGGCCCAAGAGTACTATTAGTGTATGTCAGTTCTGCCTTAACAGAGAGAATTAAACAGGAATATTTTGGTTTCATCTAATTTGACCAGGCTGACATTATTGTTCTATTATATGAAGACCAAAAACTCGCTTCACCTTTAGAACAATGCTTAAAATTATATTAAATTGGTTCATTTTGTTCTCCATTCAATAGAAGATTCAGGTTTGATATTCTTCCCAAAACTTTAGCATACATTTAAAGGAACAAAACATGTTTCTTAAAGGCTTTTTTTTAATAGAATATAAATTACAGCTTCATTCAAAACATGTAATAGGCGGTACTGCAAGGGTATTTTATTCAGCAACAATGAGAAAAGAAAATAAGCCAACAGTGGTAGCAGATCAACTAAAAAGGGAAATGAGTTGGTGCTTTAGTGTTTTTTTCCCCTCTTCTTAGCTAACATGGTTACTTACCTACAAAAACATGAATTAGAAAAATTTTTTTTAAAAATCTCCTTTATGAAATCCTAAATGACAGAATTTTGATTTTATGTGCTGAAATCGAGAAATAAGTTTTTTAATCTTCTCAAAGACATTAAAAAACAAAGAAAAAACAAACACCATAAATTGAACTACTTTTATAAAAAGCAACTAGCATTATCTACTCTTTAACTAGAACAGTATTTCAGTTTGTTCTCAGCATTATCATTCAATTTCTTTGTAGAACAATATAAGGTGTTTCTTATTAGTATATATTTCTGTATTTTCATAAAAGACATCAACTAATTTGTCATTAAAAATATAAAATTCATCATTACACACATATTAATATTAAACAATACTGGTTTGACTTCAAACATACTCTTGATTAGTTTCTCTTTTTACTGTATTAGATACATCTAAAATTCACTGTAGAAACACTCCACAATGTAAATGAAAGGCTACTTTGGCAGACTAACAATATAGGAGCTGGTAAATATGGAGCTAATTTGTAAGAAGATTGCTTCTGAGGCCACCAAGCTTCACTGAGCTTTGCAAACTGCTTAGA